ACATAAATAATAAATAAATAAATAAATTTATATATATATACATATATGTCCATCCAGCCTTCTTGCAGCTGTTGTTCTATTATCTTATGTCTCTGTCTGTTGTCTCCCAGGTAGGGACCATCGATACTTAATTTCTTCACTTCACCTACAATTACCACTACATACCTACTTTTTTGCACCACGCGAAAACCACCAACCCCGAAACGGATTCTGTTTGCCACTCTGCTTTGCATGCCTACCGGTTGTGTCACGGTAGTTCAGAGAACCACCCCCTCTCAACTAAAGAAGACATCTGGAAGGTTGATTTTAGCAATGGGAGACACAGAGAATGCGTTTCATCCGAAGCTCAGCATAAACTTGACTTTGTTTTCACATGCAAATGCCCGCATTGTCCTGTAAAATGTGCCGACGATACAAACTGAGCTTTACAATTCCTGCGTTTTCCCGCCAAAAGGCTCTGCATTTTACAGGAATTGACAAATCCCCACATTTTCCAGCAAAAAAAGCGCCGGATGTCCTTTGCAGCGAAACAGCTCCCTGATGCATTTGTCGTTTGCAGGTAGCTAGAGCCCGAGTTGCCCAAACTGCCGCAGCAGGATATCCCCTGTCTTCCCCTTGCTGCCCCGTACTGTATACCAGAAAATGTAACTTAGCTTTGGTACGTTTCTGTCTGAGTATCGAAGACTTCGTGAGATTCGTCACGTTGGGATTCACATGCATGTCTTCCTTCCTGGCCGTCTGCCGACTGGTCACTTTGTCGTCCCTCATGCTCTTGCACAGGTTGCTCCTGCCCGTTTGCACAAGGCTCTTGCTGATGCGCTCGAGTTGGCCTGGCCATTGTGCTTTTTCTGACCTTTGCTGTCTTTCCTCTTCCTCTCTTGTCGCCGGCACGGGAAAGACTCCGCTTTATTCTCATGCCCTCAGATCGAGGTACTGACACAATTCAGATTCCCGAACGTGGCACTGTCTTTCTCACTCTCCAGTTTCGTGTCGGTAAGTAGCCCGCAGCCGGTGCCAGGAAGGCAGAGGAGCTCCTGGACCATGCGAGCCATGAACGACTGCTCGTAGGAAAGTTACAAAATCCCTGGGATCCTCAGCACGGCCACTAGCAAAGCTCCAGCGGCAGCGATCAGCACACCCGGGCGCCGCCGCTCCATGGCTGCTTGGATGCTTGAAGTGGTTTGCAAGCCTCGGATGACCTTGTCAAAGAGGGTCGGTTTTCCAGCTGGGTTGCTAGCCCCAGCATGTGAAGCCCTCGAAGCACTTGAACGACAGGCTTTGCTTTCATGTCTTCTGCAAGCTCACGAAACGAAGGCATCGGACATGTTAAATGAATCGCACTCTTTCCACAGGGAGGCTCTTCTCTAAACTCCGTTGAGGCCCCGCTGTTTCGCCAACACAGGACTCAGCCTTGAACTCGTCAGAAGTCACCCGCCCTCTTTGACTGCGCAGCTCAGGAGGTTCGGCCTTCGGAAAACCTTCTGCCGCAAAGGTCAGCTCTCTCATTCTCGTTGAGGGCATCCCCCAGAAATTCGGCAATCTCCTGGCGAAGATCCACGACATTCCACGATGAGACTTGAGCTTGTTGATTGTTCAGATGCCTCCGTGTTCTCGATCAGATCGATGATGTCTTCCTGAAGTCTTAGCAGGGAAAGGCCCTTCTGATCCGCAAATATCTTCTGGACTGCAGCTGAATGGCCGCACCCATCTCTTTGCACCACTGGTTGACCTGCGACTTCGAAATTCCGGAGAACAGCCGAGAACAGCCTGCTTTGGCCGGAGCACGGCTGGAAAGTGGCGGCGCAGGCCACGGGCATCCAACCAGTCACGGACGCCACGGAATGCCTGAGTGGAAGGCTTGGCTTAGCGTCCTGAGTCTCGACGGTCTCGACGTCACAACCCGAGCTCGCCTCGTCTGAAGGGTAGAAAGCCGCCTGGGCCGCTCCAAGGCTTTCCGAAAAGTCACTTTGGTGCCTCCAGAGCGTCCAGGGAGCCATTTTGGAGGCTGCGGTCTCGGAGTCGCCCAGCTTCCGTAACCCGTTCTTGCGCGCGAAGTCATCTGCGGCCTTGGCGAACAAAGGCTGAAGCTCTCCTCGTCGATTGCCCTGAAAGCCCAGCCTTGAACATCATCGTCCACTCCACACCACTGGTCTTCATCAGTTCCTCGTGATCAGAGGAAGTGACTAAACAGGAGGGCCGGCTGGCCCGGCTGGGCTGGGACCATGCCAGAGGACGGGGCGTACGACCCTCCAGCCAGCTCCCCGTCCGACGACTGACCTTGCCGTCACAGGAAGGTGGAGCACCGTGGAAGCCTGCATCCTAAAGAACTATGCCTGCCGCGATCTCTCTGGATGCTCTCCTGGAATCTGCACAATGCTTCATCACACACTGGCTTTCATATCTGTCCTCCTCATCCGCTGCCGTGGCATTGAGGCCAAAGAGCAGAAGAGACCTATCTTGCCAAGCAGGACATTCGCAGCAGCAACGGTGTGAAATGTGAAGCCTGCGGTCGATGCGAGGACAGGAGTCAAAAGGGACTGCCCGCGTGGGTGTGGCAAAGGCGGGCGTGCCAGCTGCAGCGCTGGTTGCTGGCACGGGCCAGAGGCCGTGGCCACCAGCAAACTCCCGGGAGCGAAAGACGCCATTCCGAACAAGGGCTAAGATGTAGACTTGCAGACGTCTCTACTACAGACCTTTACAACATCCACATTAAATCAGATTGCAATCGTTCTGCCGGCTCGACAGCTTCAGCTTGGACCGCACTTGGCTGACGATCTTCATGCAACGAACAGCAGAGCGTTCAAGCTTCGGCGCTAAATTCGCCTCGGTCCTGGCCGAAGTGGTCAGACTTTCCCACAAAGATCCCTGTTTCCCTCTGGATCCACTTGCCAGGCCCAGCTGCGTTCCTGGCATGGCTTGTCATTCCACCCCCCGCACCCCCCAACCCCCGGGTGACAAGAGCATATATATAGCGGCCATGATTGGCTAGGAAGGAAAGAACTCCCAAGACTCCCAATGTGACATTTTCACAGCGGCTGGGCTGCGCAGGATACGCCTCCTTGTGAAACTTCGAGCTTGAATGCTTCAAGCCCATTACCAGACGCGCACACCTGACCACCACAGCCCTCTTCCCCCGAGACCATAAGCTTAGAGGAAACGGTGCCCACTTGCTTTCCTCGGCGCGAAGCCTACCCAACAAGAAGACTAAGAAGACCCAACAAAGATCCGAGGTGCGGTCATTTCCCGATCCCCAGAAGACACCGCGATGGGTCGAAGCACGGACTCTACAGTATAGACTGATAGGAGACGGCGGATCTCGCAGAGAAGTAGGCTCTATAACAGAGTCGGTGCGTCGACACTCCTACTGTAGCTGCCGACCCTCGACAGCTTTCGGGTCACACGGGTATCCTGTCTCGGATCTCGGAAAGCGTCAAGGATCGGCTTGCGACGGGCTTCACTCGCTTCAGCAAGCCTTCCAACAGCGTTGCAGCGAAGAGTGTCGAAGACTCTTCTTGAGCGGAGGTCCCAAAGAAAGGCCTGATTTCCACAGGGGTTCTCCTCCTGAACCGGGATTGTGCCGCCCGGCCTGTCGCGCAAAGGCACTGACAATTGACACCCACATGTGCCTACCTACTGCACCACTGAACGCTACCGTGACGCCAGGGCCAATTGTTCTTGCTGCCATGCTTTTCTGGTCACTTCTTCCTGGGCCCCGGCTGGATCTGGATGCCGCCTGGCTCCCGGCGTCTTTCTTTGGCGTTCTTTGACGCCTGCCACGGCATGTCCATGCAGCTGCATATACGAAGCGAAATTGCAAAAGCGACCTGGTTGTACACCTCTTGAAGGAGCTGCTCGAAAACATGTTTCACGTTATAAGTCCTGACAGGATCATACGGGCTCACATGCCCATGCTGCGTCGCTTGGAGTAACTCTTGGACTGGGCTTGCCACGTGACAGCACTTGCCTCTTTGAAGAGGAGCCTGGCGCTGGTCAGGACCCGCGGGCCGCGCGGTCGAAATGGTGCAACGGAATTCCGACATGTCGTGAGCAAGCCCGACAGCTCGGCTTGTGCGCCCGAGCGAACTCCAGCGCAGCATCATAGTGCACCTGCCACAATAGCCACTGCAGGCAGGGGCAGTACCCGCTTCCCACTATGGACCTAGCGCTTGCCCTTCCTTTCGCACGGGTTGAGCACGAGGGAGCATGTCCCTCGCCCCCGCGCCTAGTGCCTCCCCCACCTGTTGTGGGGTAGGAGCAAGCCATGTGCGTGCATGTGTGTGTGTGTGTGTGCGCGTATGTTCGCATGAATGTGGCTGGATCGATGTTTGGACTTGTGTGCGGTTGCGTGACTGTCTCCGTCTCATCCCTTGTTGTGTGCTGAATTGCTGCTGGTTTACAGCCCGCAGGGCATATGTTTTTACATCTGTGCTTCTGTGCACAAACACCGTACCTCGCTGACACACCTGTGTGTACAGACATATATACACACAACAACACCTCATGTACACATAGCTACATCCATTTGTTGTTTTGCTCTGTGTTCGCTTGTTTGCGTGGACAGGCATACATCTTGGTGCCCATATGCAGGCACTTGCAAATTGATCGACCGGTGACACGCAATGTTGCAGCTAACTATGATGCTCCCGCACCCTATAAACGGTCCAAGACAAATAGCTGCAAAGCTGAGGAAAACGGAAACTGGCTTTGGGAGAAGGCTCCGACTTTCTTGGTGGATTAGGTCCTGTCCACCTGTTGCTGCAGGTACCGATCCATGCCTCCATGAATCCATCCGCTAGCTGCAAGCATCGTTGGCTGGCATCGCGACACAGTTACAAAAGACTTGATGCATGCTATAACGACATGTGATTGTTTGGAGTGACACCCCCTGATCCTTGGACGAAGACAGTACCGACACACACACACACACACACACAAGCGCACACACACACACACAGTATACCAATCTTTTGTGTTTTTATACTTTTTCATTTATTTAGTTCCGACATCTTGACGATGTAGGGGATCTCAACGCATATTCACGTTCTCCTTCGTGCAACGTCGGGAGTAGCCCCACACACGCACACACACGCCCACCGACACCGCTACACCGACACACACATTCACAATATATATATATATATATATATATATACATATACAACTATATATGTAAAGTGAAGCATACAGTATCAAATCGAATTGTCGTACGCGGAGTGAAACTTCGTCTACGTCTCCTTGCGAGCCTGTCGCGCAGTGGGATCCTTCTCAACCAAGTCGAGCTTGTTCCCAACCTGGCGAGATCGCCCTGGGGCCGATTTGGTCTCAGGGGAAGCCGAGCTGCTACGGCCTCTGGGGAGCAGTGAAGCAGCACTAAGGCCTCCACTAACATGATGATGATATTGTCCTCTGCATTTTGCCGCAGCTCTTCCAGCCATTTAAGGCCTGAGTGCTTCGGTGGAGTTGGCCGTGCAAGTCCACCTCATGTTGGCTTAGGGTGCAGACAGTTCTGGAAGGTCGCATTCCTGGTCACATCCTGGCAGTTGTGGGGAGGCGGAGATTGCTGAAACGGGGGCCTGTCTATGCCGAAGTCTCGTGCGTGAGCTCTGCATTCATGCAAGGTGCATAGACCAAGAGTGCTCCCACAGCACGACGGTAGTGTGAGCCTCAAGTGCAGCGTGCAGCTGAAAGTCTTCACACTGCCTCTGAGACCCAGCATGTCAGTTGGGCTCTCAGCTGGTGATGGCTCGGTATCTCTCTTGCCCTGCGGTGTCCCAAATCTGCGCCTGAAGACAGGTCCAAAATCCGGTCTACGGAATTTTCTGCTTTAAAGCCTTCACGGTTCCACCCACGGCCAGTGGAATGGTGCCTGAAGCGAGGGAACACATTGTACACTGAACGGAGGCAGACAGAACTCTGCGTTCAAGGAGCGTGTGGCAAACTCGACACCAATCGTGGCCGTCGGAGCCTTCGGCAGCGTACCTGAAAAGCAGCGGATTTTCAGACTCAGAACGGTGAACGAGACGGCGGGTCGAGCCTTTCACGTACCGTGAAAGCAAATGAGTCTTTCCCACAGTGGCATCTCCCACAAGGACGACCTGCAGTCACAAGTAGCCCTTCGTCAAAACAATAGTCTTCGAAACTTTGCCTTGTAGAGGTGGTCACAGCCTGCGTCAAGCAAAAGGGAAGTGACGCTTGAGAAGTGAGGATCTTCCTGGGAGGCTGAGCCGAGGACCATCCTCTTCCTCCATGACAGCCGCACAGCTCTGCCCAACTCCAGTCTTGAGCCTGAGGACAAAAAGCACCCCGGGAGGGACTTTTCAGCAGATCTCTCTCTTCTGTGCCCCCTGCTGTGTTCCAGCAAGCGGAGCATGAGCCCAACACCCAGAGCCGAAACGGCGATCCAACAAAAGCACTCAAGGAGAAGTCCGGGTGGGAAGGCCATTCCATGATTCCATGGGCGTGGCTCTCTTTTGGTTCCCTGAGTCCTGCGCGTCAGTGCTATCCTATCCTGGCAAGCTCAGGTGAACCTTCAAGTTCCGGATGTCCAACCTGGACGTCGAGAAAGGGCAAAGAACCTCCCAACAGGTTTCCCGCCCACCTTGGGCTGGAGGTGAGAGGCCAGGAAAGCATTGCCTCGAGCGACTTTCGACATCTAGCAAGGTCGAAGCTCGGGGCAATCTGCATGCGTGTCCTGGAAGTGAAGGTTGATGGGCTCGGCAAATCCGGCAAGACGAGGGTCCATTCCCCTGACATCTGACGTCCGACTGCATTTTGTGGCAAGCGGTTCAGCCTTGCCCTGTGAAAGCTGGCCTGAAATCGACGTCCCGGATCTCTGTTTGCAGTACATCCAGAACCTGCGATGGCAGCAATGCAAATACCGGCTCACTGCAAGCAGCAATTGTTCACGATTCGCGATGGGGACTGAAACCCCGCAGAACTCCTCTTTCTCACTGGCATGGCGAAATGAGCAGGGGGGGCAATCGTGCTACAATCGCAGACTTTTAACCTCGAGCGATCCCGAGCGTTCAACTGCTCAAAGCCCAGAACTGAACTACCTCAGGGATTTGGAGCTTGAAGAGACCACGGCTTCGCCGGCGGGCCGGTGTTAAATGTCCACGTGCGGAATTCCACTTCGGGAAGTCTCGACTCTTTGCGTGGCTAATGGGGCAGCTGCAGGATGAAAGGAAGCAGGAAGCCCACGGACGCGGAAGAGGCCAAATCAGAAGCACCGTCCTCGGACTGACCCCGCGGCTGCCAAACATAATCGAAGGGCAGAGAACAATTCCGAGCTGCGATGGTTCCGGTTCGCTCCGTGGTGGAGGCGCCTCCACCTCCCGCAGCTTCGCTCGTGCCGGTTGTGGTCGTGACGGTGGCCGCGTCGGTCCTTACCTGACATACCCAGACGACCCGAACGGAGCGTCCTTGCACTGCATGTCCCTGCCTGCAAGAGCATGGGGCAGGCACCGCGTGCATCCTGCGCCACACGCCTAGACTTCGCATGCAACAACTTATATACCTATACAGTCTAGAGGAGTCTCAAGCAGTAAAGGTGTGGATGGGCATCGCGTTTGTGTTTGCAGCGTCCTTGGAGGCTCCATTCGCGCAGTTGGTGCAGTCGAGGTTGGTGGGGCCGTTGCATTCGTCACAGGCAGAGGAGCAAAGAAGGCATCGGCCGACGGAGGCCTCTGGGGCGTCAGGGAGTCGGCTCTGCGGACTCTGATTCTGTCAGGGCCCGGCTTCGTAGTAGGCCAGGCTGCCTGAGCTCGCAAACCTTCGCAAACCTTCGACTTGCAGACTTTGTTGGGTTCCGCCGAGCTGCTGCACGACGCGGCAAGCAAGGGCGTCGCAGACTCAGCGCCGATGCAGAGCGAGCTGTTTAAGTATGTGCCGTCCACAGCCGCGCCCAGAAAGATGCTCTTGCCTTGGCTTTCCAGTCCCTGCCTCAAGGCTTCGTGCGCAACATGGGACTTGCATGGAAGATGCTAACTCCGTTGACGGTGAAGGTCGACCGGGCGGTGCTCCTGACGCAGCCGCCTCAGAGCAAGGGCTGGGCTTAGGGTTGAAAAGGTCTTCGGTGCGGGCGCATCCTGGTTTGGCGCTGGGTGGCTGCAGAGCCATGGATCTGTCACCAGCTCGCCATTGATGTGCCAATTGCCGGCTTCTTGACTGCAAGAAGCGCAACACATCAAGGCCTCATGTCGAGAGTTGCAGAGCAGTTGCCTTATCCCTCTGAGCTGACAGGTCGCCACAACTCGCAACATTCAGACTTTGTCATCCGAGAAGCTGTGCAAAGATGTCCGGAGGCATCTGCGCGCGAGCCCGTCGACAGATGCCTGCGCCGGGACAGCGTTGAGTCCTTTTGAGATGAGAAGACAAGCAGGGCACAGCAGGGCTGGGAAGCGGAAGTCCCACCTGTCGGCAGCAGGCAACTGACCTCCAGTCTTCTCGCTGCACTGCTCGTCGAGGCTCGGAAGACAGACGTTCGCGTAGCAGCTGGAAGGCCTGAGCCGCAAGTTGCTGCTCCGTCTCCTCAAGTGTATAGTTACGCTAGTACCTGGGAGCGCTAAGCCTCGGCGCTACAGTAAGGCGGCGGCACCCCGTTGCTTGTGCAGTTGGAGCCCGCTGGCTTCCCGAGGTCGGGAGGGCAGCGCGCGGAAGACCCCGAGCAAACCTGGCCGAAGTGGGGGCCGAAGTCTACGGAGGCGCTGGGCCTCGGCCTCGGAAGCCTGGGCCAGGCCTGGCCTCGGGAAGATCGCAGTCGCCCAAGGCCGCGCGGCATTCCGCGCCGGCGGGCCGGAAAGCACAGGCATCACAGCACCTCACATCTCACGCCCAAAAAAGCATGAGCCCTTTTCTGCTCTTCCATGCTCTGCACGAGTAGCAGCAACAGCAACATCGACGACATCTTCGTCGTCACAAACATCCTTTATAGTCGTTTTGAGCAGCTTCCCAACCACGACGCGACCACGACCACCAACAGCAATCCAGCCACTACCAGCGCCACCATCCCCAATCCCCACCGCCGTCGTCACCATCATCGTCGACGTTGTCAGCTCGTCGTCCTCTCGTCCTCCTCGTCCTCCTGATAAAGTTGTGCTTAGGAATGGCTGTTGGCACAGATAAGCGGAGAATGCCAAACGAACAGATGCAAAGTGGCATTGGATAAAGATTTTGGGCGAAAACCTAGAAATCCGAAAAGGCGAGGAACAACAGCCAAAAGTCTGAAAAGTACAGCAAAAAACAACAGTCGAAAAAAAACGAAAAGTAGAAAAGTGCAGCAAGACGCGAACAGTCGAAACGTAGAGCCAAAAGCTAAGCTTTTAATAAGTGAAAAAGCGGGAAACGTCGAACAGTACAGCTGAAGGCTACAAGTCGAAAAGTCTAAATATCGAAAACGATCGAAACTTCGTTCATTTCAGGTGTTCTGAGGATGCCCAAAATGATCAAAACCAGACGGGAATTTGCGTGCATAAGATTCTCAGTTGGCTCCTCAGACCTGCAAAACAAAATCGAGATGCATGTGTCTTGGTCACTCTTTGGTGCTTTCGGGCACAAAATCTGCTCAAAAAAAAGATTGAAACTTGCTTTTAAGGTCCCACAAAACTGAACAATACACCAAAATACGCATGGCTCCGTTCGTTTTTATGTTGAGAATACCGGCCAAACCACTGACATTTGCGAGTCTGCGGCTCCCAGGCCTGTTGAAGATCAGTCGAAGTATCCCAAAATTCACAGAACACTGGCGCTGAGAAAAACCAGATGCAAAACATGCAGCCGGGCGGCTCCTAAGACCAGAACAACAAACCCAAATTCCATGTGTTTGTCTAACTACTTTTTGTTGCTTGTTGGAAAACCCCAAGTTGTCAAATAACACCAAAAGAGCACACTTGAAGAGTTCGCCTAATCCGAAAACTCAGCAAACAATACGCATGTTTTGGCTACTTATTGGTGGCTTAGGGCGGAACCCGAAACGGTTTGACTTTCAGCAACGTTTGCCAATAAGCTCGGTTCTGCTGAAAGTTACTACCATAAAGAGTGCCAGTACAACTACGACTACTGCAGACAGCTACTCGTTTTACTGCTCCCTCAGGCCTAGCCCTCGGCTACCTACATTTTCACATACTTTTCCCCGACCAGCCCTTCCTTACCCCTATCCAGCTCAACCTCTTGGCCTCTGCGCCCTAAACCATAAACCCTAAACCCTACCTCAGCCTGGGATTACCTCTGCGCTTGCGCCTGGAACAACAGTAAGCCTACCCCGAGCCCAGCCCTGAGCTCTTGTGTGACAATCTGAAAACATCGACAAAGCCCAAAAGTACCGCACTTTCGAAAAGCTCAGAACCTTCGAAAAGCCGAAACACCCGAAAAAGTACATGAAAGCGCGAAAATGCAGTACAAATCACAAGTTCGAAAAACAGAAAAAAGCGGAAAGTACCGACAAACGCAGACGAAAGTCGAAAAGTCGAAACACCAGAAAAGCATCGAACAGTGCGAAAAGTCGAAAACGTTTGGACTTTTCGGAATTTAATTCCAACGCCTGCTGGCGTACTTAGCCTCATCAGCATCACCACCACTTACAGGTACTGTAGGGGACTATTTGTTGATCCTTCTGTCTTTGCCGTCCGTTGAAGCTCGCTTGATAGCTGGCTGGCCGATTCGTTTCCCTTTGCAAACCTGTCGATCGTGGCAAACCCGACTTCATCAGAGTCCATATCATCAAGTGTGGAGCCTTGCAATGTCCGCATTCATGCCGTGCTGTGCAGAGAAAACGAAGTTTGGAGCTTGCTGCCACACCCAATCACAAACACAAACGCAAAGAGAGAGAGAGAGAGACACAGAGACACACACACACACACGCACTCACACACCCACCCACCCACCCACACACAGACACACAGAGACACACACACACACACACACACATCCACGCTTGCACGCGCACGAGCCACACAGAGGCATGACAAACAGACGGCTATCGAGAGCTGATTTGCCCAATGGCTATTTGCTGAGCAGGCTAGCACGTGACACAGCCTTCCCGGCGATTTCCTTATACTACCCACCCCTGAATTCATTGGCGGTTGGGCAAAAAATGTTCAATGTGGGCGGGGGGCGGGAGATTTCGACGAAGCAGAAATGCCGCGGCAGTGAGTCTCTTCTGTCCTATAAGCCCTACATACCTGCGGGCTTCATCTGCGAGCTTCACTGTCTTCCTTCATTCAGCAAGGAGCGGGTCGGTCCCAGCACAAGCGCTTCCAGCTTTCAGCTGGCAGGTGTCGCAGTCGCAGCAATCATCGCCGGTTGCGCCGCAGTCACACTCCTCGCCGTAGTCAATACCGCCTGCTGCATGCACTTTCCGGGCTAAACCGATGAGACATTCCTACCTGGAGGATTGGGATCGGGCGCGCGGTGCGAGTATACTCGTGGCGTGCAGCTGCACAGTTTATGTCCCAGCAGCCATTGCCACAGAGAGGTACCAGTGCCAAGCTCTCCGATCGTGAGCAGTGGCCCTGAAAGCACATGCCGCCGCGAAAGCCCTTGGGCTCGCTGGGATGCCAACCTCAGCTTCCCATTGTCTGTGCAGAGCTATGATAAGAGTTCTGCAGATCTGTGCAGTCTTGCGACATGGCGTTCCGTCAGGGACGGCCATCTGGGAACCATGAACACCTCAGCTCAAGTCTAACAGGGTGCCATGCCTCGAGTCTTGTCTTTTGGCAATCTTGGCCTCTATCCCTAGACGCGCCACCTCTGTTGCCACAAGTCTAGGCCTGCCAACAGATCTCTCCAGAATAGCCCTGCGCCCGCCCGTCTCGAAGGCCAGGTACTTTGGTCTTCTGATCCGAGTCATGGCTTGAGA